GCATAGCTTTCGGGGCTAATACCCTTGCACTGAGTGTCCCAGCGGAGTTCTTTTGGACTGCGTAACCACTCAAGAGCTTCTCCTGGAGCAAGCGGGCCGTCACGACCTCCTCCCCTAGGTCTGCAGCCGCGCCAAGCGCTGGCCGCGCCAGCCCGCCTAGCTCAGTACTGAAGGCTTGGAGTAGAATACATTGAGAAACGCTGGGTAAATGGCTTCCCCTCAAACTGGAAACTGCTGCGCGGCATCCTCAAAGCTGGTGATGAAACATCAGAAGACTTTCTCGCCTGAACTGTGAACAATACCAGATTTGCAAATACGCATTGGCCAGCGCCGTCCGACTTCAGCTTCCGAGTACCAGAGGCAATGATGAAGGGCCGTATAGAGATCTGCCGCTAGCGCAGCAGGGACTCAGGCTTGTCTCCGTCAACTTGGCTGGGGCTCGAGGCTCCCGCTAGTAGGACCGCTTCGTCGGACAGCATCTGTAGACATGCCACTGAAATAAAACACTGTTGATTGTTGTCAAGCCGCGGCAAGACCTGCATGAACTAAGAACACCATTGCTCTGCTTTGTGAACCAGCGCATAGAAAAACCCGTCATCCATTGTAAAAGCCTCAAAATTATCCCCTCTGCCATCCGCTTGTTTCGACTGAAGTGCCGGAGCACGATCAGACTCCCCTCGTCCTGCGGAAAGACGAGAACCCTCACACTTGGGAGTGATAGATGCAATCTAAGACGATCTATGTCTCCCCCCGGAATTGGGACCGGGCCAGCTCGTGGTTATGCTGTCTGCAGCGGAATCTCAAATGCTTGAGGCTAATGCCTCAAAGTGACCAGCAGCTGGCAAAAGCTAGAAAGCCTTGAGATGTTAGAGGGCCCCGAAAACTGTTAATGAGATGAAGTTCGGGGCCTTGGCCGGTTCGACAGCTACCATGCGCGGGCGGCTTGAGCTGGTAGTGCTTCAACAACAACAACAACAACAACAACAACAACAACAACAACAACAACAACAACAACAACAACAACAACAACAACAACAACAACAACAACAACAACAACAACAACAACAACAACAACAACAACAACAACAACAACAACAACAACAACAACAACAACAACAACAACAACAACAACAACAACAACAACAACAACAACAACAACAACAACAACAACAACAACAACAACAACAACAACAACAACAACAACAACAACAACAACAACAACAACAACAACAACAACAACAACAACAACAACAACAACAACAACAACAACAACAACAACAACAACAACAACAACAACAACAACAACAACAACAACAACAACAACAACAACAACAACAACAACAACAACAACAACAACAACAACAACAACAACAACAACAACAACAACAACAACAACAACAACAACAACAACAACAACAACAACAACAACAACAACAACAACAACAACAACAACAACAACAACAACAACAACAACAACAACAACAACAACAACAACAACAACAACAACAACAAACAACAACAAACAACACAAACAACAACAACAACAACAACAACAACAACAACAACAACAACAACAACAACAACAACAACAACAACAACAACAACAACAACAACAACAACAACAACAACAACAACAACAACAACAACAACAACAACAACAACAACAACCACCACCGGCCCAAGAGTGGACCCCTGAACGAAAAGTGCTCAAGACCCTTTCTTGCTGCCTGCGCGTCCTTTTGCGGGCTTTCCTATGCAAAACCTGTAGGGGATTCTAAAAGGTACCTCGGTCCGCTAGCGATAATTCCAAGGTCCAAAACCTAAACCCTTCGCGCCAAATCCTTAACCCCAGACCCCAACCTTTACACCCCATTGAGGGGTATAGGGCTCTTTGGGTGCTTAGGGAGCCCTAAACCCTAAACCCTAAACCCTAAACCTTAAACCCTAAACCTTGACCCTCACCGGGCCTGTCGAGCTTGCTGGTGCTTGCGCGCCTGCGCACACGCTTCGGTATGGTGTGGCTTGGGTTTTGGGTTTAGGGTTTAGGGTTTAGGGTTTAGGGTTTAGGGTTTAGGGTTTAGGGTTCAGGGTTCAGGGTTCAGGGTTCAGGGTTCAGGGTTCAGGGTTCAGGGTTCAGGGTTCAGGGTTCAGGGTTCAGGGTTCAGGGTTCAGGGTTCCGGGTTTAGGGTTTAGGGTAGCTACATGGCCCCTTACTATGGGCACTTAGTTGGGGAACCATCATATACCCCGTATACACCCTCTAACACGCAAGGGCCCATGCTTCAGGACCCTATCGAGAAGGTCAGGTACCAGATTCAGGGACCCCTGAACCCTAAACCCTAAACCCTAAACCCTAAACCCTAAAGCTTGAACCCTAAACCGCGTATTAAGGGACTGTGTAACTTCCCTTACAGCTCAACCGAGGCGGATCTGCGGGGTTGAGGGATTTGGGTCTTAGAGGTCTATAGGGTTTGAAGTGCATAGGCTTTGGGTTTAGGGTTTAGGGTTTAGGGTTTAGGGTTTAGGGTTTAGGGTTTAGGGTTTAGGGTTTAGGGTTTAGGGTTTAGGGTTTAGGGTTTAGGGTTTGGGGTTTGGGGTTTAGGGTTTAGGGTTTAGGGTTCAGGGTTCAGGATTGAGGGTTTCGGGCTCAAAAGCCCCTAAGCCCGAAACCCTAAAGTCCCTAAACAGGACCATCAGGAGCCAACACGGCATGCGCCTGGAGAAGCCTATATACCCCTAATACCCCAAAAAGGCTTTCATTTATTGGTTCTGATAGTAAACCCTAAACCCTAAACCCTAAACCCTAAACCCTAAACCCTAAACCCTAAACCCCTAAACCCCTGAAGCCCAGAAGCCCCTAAGCCCTACAAGGCCATAAGGTGCCCCACATAATCGCTTAAAGGAATTATATGGGGCCTCATTCCCTCATTCCCCACTAAGAGCCAGGAGCTACAACTCCACATCGTTCTAAGCAGTTGGTTTAGGGTTTAGGGTTTAGGGTTTAGGGTTTAGGGTTTAGGGTTTAGGGTTTAGGGTTTAGGGTTTAGGGTTTAGGGTTTGGGGTTTCGGGCTTATGGGGTTACGCCGTGTTGCTGAAAGATTCTAGATCGACGCCAATCGAGTCGAGCACTGTAGAGATTTTTGGGGTTTCCGAACAGAGGAGTACCCTTTTCGGGGGTCTCTTTAAGGGGATTGGGTATAAAGGGGGTTACCCTTTTTTGGGAGAAATACCCATTTGTGTACTTCCACTTTTCAGAATTCAGAATGGATGTTGTACTTTCTGCTGCGGTTTGGGCTATTGATCTAGAATCCAAGCAACTCCCTGCCATGATCTTCCGGTCGGACCATGTGCTTCTAGAACCGTAGAGAAACAAGCGTTTAGGGTTTAGGGTTTAGGGTTTAGGGTTTAGGGTTTAGGAATTAGGGTTTAGGGTTTAGGAATTAGGGTTTAGGGCCCTCTTGTTTCCACGGACTGCGTCGCCCATACTTGAAAATGAAGGTCGGAGAGGTCATTGAACACGTGCCGACTGATAAGGCAAACCCTAAACCTTAAACCCTAAACCCTAAACCTTAAACCCCTTTCGGCAGAGGATTTATGGGGCCTTCTGGGGATAATTCGGGCTTATGATTTGGAGTTTGGAGGTGTACCTAGGGGTTAGAGTGGGCTAAAGGCTCATAAACTTAAAGGCAGAAGCTTCTAAGGGTTTATAGGGTTCAAAGGCTGGAACACACAACGCAAATCGTAGCCCCGGAGTTCTACGCCGACAAACCGTTGTTACGCGTTGTTGAAACTCGAAACCCTAAACCCTAAGCCCTAAGCCCCAAACCCTAAACCCTAAACCCTAAACCCTAAACCCTAAACCCTAAACCCCAAACCCCGCCCTTCTTTGCTCCCTCTGTGCTAGCAAGTCGTGGTCGGGTGCCCCAGATAGGCGGGGAGGCGCCTGGGTGTTTGAGGCCTTTGCAACCACAGTCTGCCAAGCGCGCGATGTTGAAAAGCACACTACTGTCTGCTTAAGAGCCCCCCAAAAAAAATATATATATATTTTTTTTCTATATTCAGAATCCCTATATTACCCTTATAAGGTAGAGTATTTTCTATTGTTTTTTGGGGGGTTCTTAAGCAATTAGTAGTACAAGGCCCACAAAGCCCTGTCGCGACAGCAGGAGGCCTTAAGGGAACATGAGGAAAAGAAACTGCCTGACTGATCGCCTACCGACCGATGTTGAGCGCTTACTTGGGGCATTGACCCCTGCGTCCCCGTGTTCCCATCTATGCCAAGGTTTTGGTGACACTCGAAAATTCTCGCAAAGCACACTCGTATCAGGCTACTGCGTGAAGCCTGTCAGAGCTGCGACTGCGGGAAGGGTGGGCCACAGCATTGACTGCCTCAGTTGCTGAGCTCATAACCCTCCTTAAAAAGCGTACACTCCCAGCTCTATAGGGGATTAGTCTCCCAAAAACCTAAACCCTAAACCCTAATCATTCAGCGACTAAGCTGCATGCCGGCCTTTGATGACGTGACGGGCGTCGCCGTCGTCGTGGTGCCGCAGGGATGGCGTGCCTCTACTGAACTTGGAACCCGAGCAAAAATTAGTTTTATGCTGTTTCTTATAGGAATTCTAGTACCCAAAAATTAATTTTAATGCTGTTTCTTAGGAATTAGCGTACCCAAAAAAGAATTCTTATGCTGTTTCTTAGGAATTATAGAACCCAAGAATTAAAAATTATTTCCAAGTGCCCCAAAGGTGCCTCCATGAGCCAGTCAAAGACCTTCTCCGCCCCCTCGCTTCCAGACTCCATCTGTGCCAGGAAGCCTGGGAATAAAATGGTTTAGGGTTTAGGGTTTAGGGTTCAGGGTTTAGGGTTTAGGGTTTAGGGTTTAGGGCTACTAGATCCAGGGGTAGCCTAGGAATAAAGAGGGTTCCCTTTCTTGGTGTTAAGGGGAGTATAGCGGAACCCCAACCCCAAAAAAGGAAATAACGGCCTACTCTGGGTCCTAGGAGCTGTACGTGAGGGCACCGGGATCTCCGGAATGCTGCAGCAAGTAGAAGCCTGTGGTTGCACAGTAGTCCACTACCAAGCACGCCCGGGTGTGCAAGTGGGCCTCACTCCTCACATGCACCTTGTCCGGTGCCCATCCCGGCGCCCCGTTGAAGTTCTTCTGCTCAACCACGAAGTTGTTGTAGCACAAGCCATCCTCGGTAGTAGCCATGTCATAAGAAGGGCACCCTTTTGTGGGTTGGCTACTTTAGAAGGGAACCTTGAAGCCCAACAAAAAAGGGTAAAGGGTAACCCTAAACCCTAAACCCGAAACCCTAAACCCGAAACCCTAAACCCTAAACCCTGAACCCTACCAAGCATCCATGAGCACCCCCGTGATCGTGGCTGCGGACGCGCTGCTGCTGTCGAAGGTGCAACCTTGGAAGCTGCTGGGCTTCTTAGCCCTGGCGGCGTCGCAGCCTTACTTGCTCTAATAACCAAAGGGGGAAAAAAGGCTATGTAAACTTTCATATTCCTACTAAATAATAAGGACACCCAAAGAGCGTAAAAGTTCAACTAAAGGCGAGGTAAGGAGCTGTAGTCATCGGAGCAGGTGCTCGACGAGGTGACGCAGTCGACATTACTGCTGGTCTGGATGTTTGTGCCCATGTCCTCAATCGAGGTGACCCTTATGCAGTTGTTGGCATCTTTCCTTAGCTGACTGACGAAGCCTCCAAAAAGCTAAACTTTTAGCCTCCTTGTTAGAGTTTATACAGAAACCCAAAAAACTTACAGTCCTAAGCGCCAACCAGAAGAACGCCAAGTTTCATGCCAGTCACCGCCACGGTCCAGTTGTTGTCGAGGCCGTGTGCTGCATGAGCATTAGGCAGGATGGCTGCAAGGGTCAGGAGGGTGAGTCCCAACATCTTCTTGTGACGCAGGAGTGGGGGGGGGCGAGCACGCTTCTGAACCCTTCCCAGGCAGCTTTGCGAGCCAGATATGGAAGACAGTCTGCTGGACCGCTGCTGCAGAGATCACGCAGAGCCTCTTATAAACATTAAAGTTGATGAAGGGCCTTTTGATCATATGATTGCACCCACGAGTACGGTACTGATTCTTGTAGTCTCGCGGACTACTATTTGGCCCGTGTATAGTTACAGTATATTTAGGAGCCTTTCTGTCCCATTATTCATAACATCATTGGCATTTTGTACCGTTCACTTGTTCGCTTAGTCTCACTCTGCACTTAGGTTCATGCACTCACTGTATTATTAATCATATTTCTGAGCCCCTGAACTCTTATCTTATACACGCTTCTTTCTCTCACTTATTCACTCAGGCTTCTCTATCTCTAGCTGACTCCAGCTCCTGTAAATCCGCCAACCTTCTAATGTCCAGCAGCAAAGTTAGCAGTCTTATGGACTGTTCTCTGGGCCGCCGAGAAGAATCCCCCAACAGGCGATTCAAATGTGAATCTCTTCTCACACCCTGACGCCCCTAAACCCTAAACCCTAAACCCTAAACCCCCAAGCCCCCAAAACCCCAAACCGTCTGTTGCTATAGGCGTTCAGGTCTTCGGGACCGCAGATCCCGTCCTCCGCTGGCTGAAGGGAGGTCCTAGATGCGACGGGGTACATCCTAAAACTCCAAACCCTTAGGGTTTAGGGTTTAGGGTTTAGGGTTTAGGGTTTAGTGTTTAGGGTCCCAAAAGTCTAGACCCATGTGTAGCCTAGGAAACAAAAAAAGTGCCCTTTTGGGTTTACATGTGCTGTAAGGGAGCCTAAACCCCCTAAAACAGGGAATAGGGGCCTACTCTGGGTCCTAGGCAAACTCCAGAAAGTTGGAACATCATTATCCTAATACCCTTCAGGTAAAGTAAACGGAAACCCAGCACTACTCATCCTAAACCCATGTTCCAACTTTCTGGAATTCACTATACTGCCGTACACCTACTACCCTAAACTGTGCACGCCAAACCCTATACCCCATTTTAAAACTGGGGTTTGTAGGGTTTAGGGCATGGAGTGCGGTTACCTACCAAGAAAGGGGTTCAGGGTCTTGGCACGCAATTTTCGACATCCTGAAAAGGGTTTACTGACCAAAGGAAAGCCATAGGATTGGGTGAGCCCCGTCAAGCCTAAACCGCAGTGTCTAGGCTAGCTGTGTTTTGTGGGTCCGGTGGGCAACCTAAAATCAAACTGTGTCGCACCGCCCTTCCTGCGCTCTCTAGACCCCAAAATGCAAAGGGTTCAGGGTTTAGGGCTTAAGGTTCTTCAGGGCCGAAACTGCACAATGGTTTTGGAACCCAGGGCAGGTGATAGCTTCAAACCCTAACCCCGAGCACAGCTTGAACATCACATGACACAACACCCCGTCTAGCCACCCAAAACCAACATGAATTAGTTTAGGGTATGTCCGTAAGAACCTAAGAAACTTTTGGGTTCGCAATGTGAGGATGAAAGTATTCGGCTGTTGGGTACATCCTATACCTTTGTAATGCCCAAATCACTAAATTCTAACCCCCACAAAAACACACCCAACAATTTTGAGATCCAGGTCCTCGGACCCAAAACAGTGAACTCCCTTGAACCCGAACCCCCCCCCCCCCCCGCTTGCTGTCTATGAAAAGTTCAACATCCTTAAACCCTAAACCCTAAACCCTAAACCCTAAGCCCTGAACCCTGAACCCTGAACCTCCACACCCTAATCCCACCTCGACCAAGAGGCCCGCGGCCCCAGGAGCTCTGCCTTCAGCGCCTGGAAGCCAGGCATTGGTTTGGGGTAGTTGGGTTTAGGGTTTAGGGTTTAGGGTTTAGGGTTTAGGGTTTAGGGTTTCGTGTTTCGGGTTTCGCGTTTCGGGTTTCGGACAGATTGCGTGTTCAGATCAATATGCTTCGCACAACGGCTTTTCGGACTCTTGTTGACAGCGCAAGCTTTGGCGCAAGCTTCACCCTTCCAAGCAGCATTTCAATCTGTGCTTGACATTGATCTTATTGAGTCTCATGGGGTTTCTACGACATGTCCAAGCAACAATAAACCCTATTGGATAGTGCCGCCTCGAACGGTGTAGGGTTTATGGATGAACGATTGGATTGTCAAAGGCTCCCCTTGAGCTTGGGGGTGCAAGAAGATGGCGAGCAACGGCGTGCTTCGCACACATCTGCGCAACGCAACAGCTCGCATACTACATGGGGCGCGTGCGCGACACATGCATGCATCAGCTGCTAGAGTTCACACCTGCAGCATGGCATCAAGTACGCGCACCAGCTCTGCGCATACATCCGTCAGTGGTCTCGCGACAAGCCGGCGCCAACCACAAGTTGTATATACATACCTGGCAAACATCAAAAGGACTTGCTGGCGTAGGCAAGTGAATCTCTGCATGCTACTAGACGCACATCATATGAGCATCAATTTGTTGCGCCAACCTGAAACCAGAACTCTGGTTTCAATCCGCGAATGTTCTGGAGTTCTGGAAAAAGTTGTCAATGCCTCTTCTGCGCGTTTTTGCCAGACACAGGAAATTGCGGCAGTTCAGTGACTGAGAGCCGGGGTCGGGATGCTCCCGGCTTTCCCAGACGTGTGAGAGAGCCATCACGGAGAAGTTGTCTTCAACCCATCTTGACATGACATGAATGCTAAGTGAATGTTTTGACGTGACAAGAATGTTGAAGTAATTGCTTCTGGGAGCCTTACATAGTCTTTTGCCCCTGTCGGCCTTAACCCCATGAACCCTAACAGCCCCAAACTTAAACCCATGCAACCTTTGCAAGGCCTTGCAGACGATAGCTAGCCACGATAACTAGCCATCAGAATACCACCACTACCACCACGACTGCGGCTATTGCTCCCGTTCCTGCTCCTGCTTTGCTCCTACTGCTGCTCCAACTCCTACTTCTACCGCTGCCGCTACCGCTACCACACAGCTACGACCGCAACCCTAGCGCCTCCTGCTGCTTTTGCCACACTGCTGCTACTGCTACTGCTACTGCTACTGCTGCTGCTACTACTACTACTACTACTACTACTACTACTACTACTACTACTACTACTACTACTACTACTACTACTACTACTACTACTACTACTACTACTACTACTACTACTACTACTACTACTACTACTACTACTACTACTACTACGACTACTACTACTACTACTACTACTACTACTACTACTACTACTACTACTACTACTACTACTACTACTACTACTACTACTACTACTACGACGACGCACACAGACGACGACGGAAGGCCATGGTGGCCAGGGTTTAGGGTTTAGGGCTAGGGTTTAGGGTTTAGGGTTTAGGGTTTAGGGTCTAGGGTCTAGGGTTTAGGGTTTAGGGTTTCGGGTTTAGGGTTAGCCGGACGAACGTATTCCAATGAGCTTGCAGCATGCTGGAACAGAAGAATGTGGTGTAATTTAGGTCCTTATGGGACGGCATCATGAGCGGCAAGGGCTCGGGGTTTTAGGATATCGGGAGTTTGCGCGAAGTCCTGCAAGAAAACCTGGCGGAAACCTTTCGAGCTACTGCAAAGGCACGTGCAAGGGCATGTCCGAAATTGGGGGCTCCCCCCCCTTCAACCCCCCTGACGCATCAGCTGTCGCAAGGCATTCGACTGAACAGGGTGCCCTTTCAGATTGAAACCCAGATCACAAAACACCAAGAGCGGGCCCTCAACTCCAAACAGAACTGAACCAAAATCAGGCTCTGAAGCACAGCAGCAACACACATCGACGCGCCCATGCACAAAAAGAAGAACCTACACCCTGCTTGACGGTTCATGCACACCTACACGTAGTGCTTCCTGGATCAAATGTCTAGTGCCAGGCAACGTGTAAGCCCTGGACCTTGAAACTAAACTTGCGCAGTGTACGAACCCCGGTAAACCCCCCCTAAACCCTAAACCCTAAATCCCTAAACCCTAAACCCTAAACCCTAAATCCTAAACCCTAAACCCTAAACCTGTGCCTCTGCTGCTTCTGCTGTGACTGCAGTACCGATCACGGCGGGCCGCCAGGAGCGAAGCACGGTGGCCAAATCTTCCAGGGGGTTTGGGGTTGAGGGCTTGCGGTTTAGGGTTTAGGGTTTAGGGTTGTGGGTTTACATAATTTCGGGTTGAGACTTTCGAGTTTAATAAGTGCGAATGTATACTCGGCCCCAAACCCAGAGAGCAAGAAATACACCTATGCAGTTGAGAGTAATCGTAGCTTAGTACAAGATTATAGGAATTGTATGCGAACAATAGTTATGGTAATTCTTTCGGCTCACGCAGTTTTGTTTGGGTATGGGGTTCCGAGATAATCAAAGCACTTGCAAAAACAAAGGAGACTCCTGTGGGGTCTGCGTGTTGGAAGAGAATGCATGATCTGCTGATTCAA